TGGGAATGCCCAGTGGGTTGCTGGACTGGGAAAAAAAAAATGGCTGAAAAAGTCACGAAAAACTGAAGCCATAGCTGCTGCACAAAGACTGAAACAAAAATGGAACGTATCTTAGCTGAGCAGTAAGAACACACCACCAGCCTTCAGCAGTTAACCCCCCCACCCCCCGGCCCAAGAGAGAGATAAAAAAGGCAATTTTCTGTGTGTAGTAAGACCAAAATAAATTTTTAGGGTCAGTACTTACCAAGATATAAGACCACGAAGATGGTGCTGGATGCTCACCTGACGGTAACATGGAGTCCTGCTGCTTGCAAAAGTGTTGCCAATATACCTTTTCTCGTCATTTTTTTTTTAATTTATGTAATTTTTATGTTCTGGTAACTACAATTTATAGTTCTTGTGATTTCATTGCCAATCTTTGTTCTGACACTAATATTACATACACAAATAGTACTCAAATAGCCACAAACACACTGACAGGAGAACATTTTCACCTGTCCCAGTCACATACTATTGTCTACAAATATATACAAAGTATTTATAGATCCCAGTAATGCTTCAGACACGCTGGAGTATATATGAAACTCATTGAAGCACTGTGTAAGACGAGTGTCACTCCACTGCTGACAGTGCAGCAGTGGATTTATGCTTGATGATCATGCACTGCTCCAGGGAACCTTGGCTTTATTTGTTTTCACTGTTACACATAAACATGTCTATCTATCTGTCTGTCTCTGTCTGCTTATCTGTCTTTCTGTCTGCCTGTGTTTTTTTTTCTCTCTGTCTGCTTGTCTTTCTTTCTCAAGAGAGCCACTCATGAATCAACAGGGATTACACATGATGCAGAGTCGTCAAGTCTGATTCCTGATCAAGTGAAGATGCATATAACTTGCCAGTCATGCTTATTATGCCTTATATCTGCAAGCACAGTATAGCACTTCGAGATTTTTGGGGTTATCCCAAGAAATTTATACTATGTATAATAACTGTACTTATGTGCACCTGTTGGACAAAGACAGAGACAGACATAGACAGAGACAGATACACAGCCAAAGTCACTCAGCCAGTCAGCTGGCCACCTACCCGGCCTGCCGCATACATATTACACATGCTCCAGAATTGCTTCTCTTTACTTAGGGCATGGGTTATAGGACATTCTGGCAAGATGACACTACCTGTGATATCAAAACTGAAAGGATGTTGCACATGGGTTATTATTGCGGTTTTTGATATTTCCTCAACCACTTGTGGCTACATCCATCTCAAAGCCACTTAACTCAGGGTCAACATCACTTTCCGTGTTAATACTACAAGGCATCACCGAATCCGTGGTGTCTGCCACGCTGTTTACTTTAGCTGGCACTCAATTGACCTGGTGCTCCCACAAGGTACTCAGCAGTCCCAGAATTTTTTAATACTATGCACACCAAGTGTTAGGACCCATTCTATAATGACTAGGCATCTCAGGCCAATCGTGCCAAATTTGGAGGCAGGAAATATAAAACGTTGCTCTATGTTTGGAGCACTAGCAGTAGGAAAGCAGATGTACGTTTGGACAGTTTAAGGGTTAATGAGCCGAACTGATAGGGGACGGATGCCCAGCCCAGTTTTAGGACCCAGTCCACTTCTGCTCACCAACAACCATGCACACCCCACCCACCACCATCACTAAGCTACCAATTCTGTCTTGCTAAGCAAGTTTATTCAGGTACAGGTACACAGAAATTATCATACATAGCAGCACATGTGTAGAGTACCTAGGATAACCCCAAAAAGTCAGACAAAGCAACTTATTGTTGCTTCCTGATGCCACACCCACACCCCATCCAGCATTCTCCACCTCCCAATACCAGCCTCCAGCTCCTACCCCCAACCCTCCACTATTCGGAGAGTTAAGTGTAAAATATGAGGGGCATGGAAATGTGATTAATGAACAGATGAAAGGCTGCTTTAGTGACTAATGCCTTCATTCAGTGTTTACCTTGGACTCTTGTTTTGAAATCAAAATTGAGGAATTTCATGTAAAAGTAGTCAAACTGCCAGAAAGGGAGAGGAGGAGAATCCCAGAATCACATGCATATGCACACGACTGTACATTCACTTATCCAAGAGAAGAAATGCCAGCTGCTCTAAGTTACATCAATCACCAGCTAAGAGCTATATCAGCCTGGGGAAATTGATGGCAAGTAACATTTGTACCTGAGAAGAGAGAGAGAGAGAGAGAGAGGAGAGAGAGAGAGAGAGAGAGAGAGAGAGAGAGAGAGAGGGGAGAGAGAGAGAGAGAGAGGAGAGAGAGAGAGAGAGAGAGAGGGAGGGAGAGAGAAGAGAGAGAGAGAGAGAGAGAGAGAGAGAGAGAGAGAGAGAGAGAGAGGAAGAGAGGGGAGAGAGGGGAGAGAAGAGAGAGAGAGAGAGAAAGAGAGAGAGAGAGAGAAAGAGAGAGGAGAGAGAGAAAGAAGAGGAAAAGAGAGAAAAGAGAGAGGAGAGAGAGAAGAGAGAGGAGGAGAGGAAAGAGAGAGGAGAGAGAAGGGAAGAGAGAGGAGAGAGAGAAAGAGAGAGGAGAAGAGAGAGGGGAGAGAGAGGGGAGAGAGAGGGGAGAGAGAGAGAGGGGAGAGAGAGAGGGGGAGAGAGAGAGGGAGAGAGGGGAGAGGGAGAGAGGGGGGAGGGGGAGAAGGGGAGAGAGAGGGGGAGAGAGAGGGGGAAAAGGGGAGGGAGAGAGAGAGGGGGAGGAGAGGGAGAGAGAGGGGAGAGAGGGGGGGGAGAGGGGAGAGAGGGAGAGAGGGGGAGAGAGAGAGAGGGGGGAGAGAGAGGGGAAGAGGAGAGAGGGGAGGGGGAGAGGAGGAGAGAGAGGGGAGAGAGAGGGAGAGAGAGAGAGAGAGAGAGAGAGAGAGAGGAGGGGGAAAGGAGAGGAGGGGAGGAGAGGGGGAGAGAGAAGAGAGAGGAGAGAGAGAGGGGGGAGGGAGGGGGGGGAGGGAGAGAGAGGGGAAAGGGGAGAGAGAGAGAGAAGAGGAGGAGAGAGAGAGAGAGAGAAGAGGGGAGGAGAGAGAGAGAGAGAGAGAGAGGAGAGAGAGACGAGACTGCTTGACAGAGTAAAAGAACAGAGCAAGACGTCTCATCTCTCGCCTGGACCCATCCTGGATAGATCTGTCTTTTTCAGCAGAGCCTTAAACATAGGAGGGATGTGGGTGGCCTTATGTTATGTACAAGGCAATATTGTCAAAAAACCACACTTGGATCCACTTCGAGGACAGCGTGAAACAAGCTTTTATGCCACAAGACGGGCAGAAAGCAGCAACTTCACTTTTGGCTGTACCCTTCTCCAGAAAAATCACTCCATCTGAGATCATACATCCCCAGGATGACTCGGTATGGAACACATTCGTACAGGATAATGATGTCAACGAGATAAAGTCAGTTGATCAAATGAAAATGCTGGCCCACAGATGGCTCCAACTTCATCCTGTTTCCTACTTGTATGTCTCATAACAATAAAAATGCTTTCAAATGAGCTGATGTAGGTAACAGCTCTTAGCTTGCCAATAAAGTTAGGAATCCTTAACCTGTAAATAGCTGTCAATAAAGCTAGGGATCCTTAACCTTGTCAAACCCTGTGTAAAAAAAAAAAAAAAAAAAAAAAAAAAAATCACTCCATCTGAGATCATACATACCCAGGATGACTCGAGTATGGAACACATTCGTACAGCATAATGATGTCAACGAGATAAAGTCAGTTGATCAAATGAAAATGCTGGTCCACAGATGGCTCCAACTTCATCCTGTTCCCTACTTGTATGTCTCATAACAATAAAAATGCTTTCAAATGAGCTGATGTAGGTAACAGCTCTTAGCTTGCCAATAAAGTTAGGAATCCTTAACCTGTAAATAGCTGTCAATAAAGCTAGGGATCCTTAACCTTGTCAAACCTGTGATAAAAAAAAAAAAAAAAAAAAAAGGGGGAGAGAGAGGGGGAGAGAGGGGAGAGAGAGAGGGGGAGAGAGAGAGGGGAGAGGAGAAGAGGGGAGAGAGGGGAGAGAGAGGGGAGAGAGAGAGGGGGAGGAGAGAGGGGAGGAGAAGGGGGAGAGGGGGAGAGAAGGGGGAAAGAAGGGGAAGAGAAGGGGGAGAGGGGGAAGAGAAGGGGGAGAGGGGGAAGAGAAGGGGGAGAGGGGGGAGGGAAGGGGGAGAGGGGGGGAGGGAAGGGGGAGAGGGAGGGAAGGAAGGGGGAGAGGGAGGGAAGGGAGAGAAAAATGGGAGAGAAAGGGGGAAGAGGGAGAGGGGGAGGGTGTCACATTCACCAGCACTGAGGCACTGCTACCTACTATCAGGGAAGGAAACAATGGGTCAAGACAGACTGAGACAAGCGTGATGGGAAGGAAATGAAGACCACTTCAAAGGTTACCTAGATATAGGGTGGAAGTTCTTGAGCAAGAGAGTTGAAAGAAAAATACACCAGTGTAGTGAGCAGCAAGTGCTTGATGAAAAGTACATACATCAAGTCCAAAATACAATACCTAATTGGAATAGGGTATAGAGGATGCAGTACATAGTCAATTAATGATTATGATGTAGGTCCCCAAGAGCTAAAGCCTGATATCCACAAATACAATTGTACATTATTCTTATTTATTTATAATCATAACTAAGCACTAAACCCTGAAAGGTCATATAGCACTGCTGGCGTATGTACAGACATGTGCATGTATACACTGTTGAATGAAACACTCAGTAAGGGTGATCATTCACAATGTGCTACTTGAACTGCAAAACTCACTGGGCTTCAGCTGACCTGTCACAGCAATTGGCATGGCATGATGTGCGTTGCACAAGTCATTTTGTCAGTCAAATAAAACTACACTGGGTTTTGCAAGGTTAATGTGTAATTGTTCAGACAAACCTTCATTGGCAAGGCAGCAATTCAGGTGATCACTGTGCTGTCTCACTTTTCAACACCCTCACTGAAAAACTTAAGCATGTTTAAAATAAGATGACTTACTGGAGAACCGTACCTCTCTTGCCTGTTTGGTTGTCCCGCGTATGGTCAGGACTGGGTGTCTGGGGTGGAGATGAATACTGTGATGATGAAGGTGACGAGTCCGATGACCGTGAGCAACTCTTCACGTGACCATGCCCTCTTTGATTTCCTTTGTTGAACCCTCGCATACTTCCACTACTACTGCTACAGCTGCTACTGCTGCTTCCTCCTCTGCTGCCACTCCCAGAGTTAATACGTGCCCCAGGGTGATGATGCGCTTTTAAATGGGCCATTGGACCAATTGGTGGTATATGCGGCAAATAAAAAGACCTATGAGGATGGTGCGCAGTGTATGTTCCTGGTGGTACATAGGCATGAGTACCCCCAGGAGCTCCTAACAAAGAGTATAGGTATGTGGGAGGAAACTGACCTCCTGGAGGCACCATGGGTACCAAGCCTCCATTCCCAGGTGGAGGAACACCTATACTACCAGATGATGTATATATGGGCATGTTACCTGCTGAGGTATAAATAGGTATGGCCACACTACCTACTGGAGAAGGTTGAGGCAGAGTCATACCCACAGGAGCAGTGTAGCCTGCCATGTTTATGGGCACAGAGCCAGAGATACCCATACCATTGCTGTTTACACCAGGGTTGCTTTTTCCTCCAGGCCCATTGTTGATAGTATAGTACACCTGAAAAGATTATCACTGTAAAAGAACATGTACACAAACAGGTATATACACTTTACTAACTCTACATTTTTTTCAAAAGTTCCTTCCAAGAAAGTAAATTAACATGCTTGCATCATTAAAAAGTTGGGTGGACCCATTATATATAATAACAGACCTGCTTCACTAAAGAGTGTACAGTAAACCCTCCATATAACAGATTTTCGAAATGACAAATAAAATTTACTGGGTTAGTTGATTTAAACACAATGGACGAAGTTACTGATTACAGAACTGTCCATTATTGTTACAATCATGACCCAACAATCTCTTCTCTATCCACCACAGCTGCCATTACCAGCCACCCAACCCCCCAATTAGTCTGTTATACAGAGGGTTTACTGTAACTGTTAATACAGTCTAGCAGAAAAATGATTCAGGTGGCAAGACTCTACTAAAAAATAAATTTGATTTTCAAATTGGTCATACAGTGGAACCTCGGCTTACGAATTTAATCCGTTCCATGACCTTGTTCGTATCCTGATTTGTTTGTATGCTGAGTCAATTTTCCTCATTTAAATTAATTGAAATGCAAATACAGTGGACCCCCGACATTCGATGGCATCGACATTCGATAACTCTGACATTCAATGCATTTTAATGCAAAAATTTTGCCTCGACATTCGATGGAAAACCCGACATTCAGTACGATTCGTACGAGACGTGTCCACGTGTGGCCTGAACTGCCCCGTGTGTGCCAGTGTTTACAAGCCAGCCAGTGTGCGCGCATCTAAGGATACATTCGGTACATTCCATATTATCCATATTATCACTGTTTTTGGTGCTTGTTTCTGCAAAGTAAGTCACCATGGGCCCCAAGAAAGCTTCTAGTGCCAACCCTGTGGTAAAAAGGGTGAGAATTAGTATAGAAATTAAGAAAGATTTTGAAGGGTTTGGGGCTAACCCTGAGAAGCCTATGCCAGTTGTGGACTCCATTGTGCCTACTTCAAAAATTAAGGAAATGTGTGCAAAGTGGGTTGAACTACAAACCTTTATGGATGAAAATCACCCTAACACAGCTATTGCAAGCCGTGCTGGTGACTATTACAATGACAATGTTATGGCCCACTTCAGACAAATCTTAAAGAAATGGCGACAGAGGTCCAGTGACTCTCAAGCTGGTCCTAGTGGCATTAAAAGAAGAAGAGAAGTAACCCCAGAAAAGGACTTGCTACCTCAAATCCTAATGGAAGGGGATTCCCCTTCTAAACAGTAACAACTTCGACACTCTCCCCTCCTCCCATCCCATCAATCATCACCAGATCTTCATTAAAGGTAAGTGTCAATTATTCTATTGTTATTATTCTATTGTTATTGTTGTTATTGTAATTATTCTACTGCATTAAACTTAATATTTTATGTGGTAAAAATTTTTTTTCATACTTTTGGGTGTCTTGCACGGATTAATTTGATTTCCATTATTTCTTATGGGTAAAATTAATTCAACTTTCAATATTTTCGACATCTGATAGCTCTCAGGAACGGATTAGTATCAAATGTCGAGGGTCCACTGTAATCCGTTCCAGCCTCTCAAGAGGCATGACAAAATAATGCTAATATCAACTCTATGGCTTAGTTACCTATCACAATTCATCTAATGACATAATAAACAATATTAATAAATAGAAACAAGATATATACTCTAGAATGGATAAAATAGGCCATAATATGGCAAGTGATGGTGACACTGGCAGTGGCAGTAAGCATCTGCTATTTACTCTCCCACTCTAGTAGTATCTTACCAGTTCATAACCCCACACCTAGCTTGTGTTTATCTATGATTAGTGGTGAGGTTGTCACATATGTAACCACAGGTGTGGTCAAGACAGATGTACATATAGGTGAAGACATGATCACTGTGGCCACAGTGGTGGTGGTGATGGCAGCGGCCACAGTGGTGGTGGCGGTGGCGGCAGCGGCCACAGTGGTGGTGGTGGCGGCGGCCAGCTGCCTCACTCTATGCTGCTGCCTTCTTCACTTCTCTAGCTTTTTTCATAGTTTCTAATCACTTTTTGCTGATTGTATGCAAATACTGTCTCTTTGGGTGAGGCATTGTGTAAGAAATTTGTACAATACAGTGGACCCCCGCATAACGATTACCTCCAAATGTGACCAATTATGTAAGTGTATTTATGTAAGTGCGTTTGTACGTGTATGTTTGGGGGTCTGAAATGGACTAATCTACTTCACAATATTCCTTATGGGAAAAAATTCGGTCAGTACTGGCACCTGAACATACTACTGGAATGAAAAAAGTTCGTTAACCGGGGGTCCACTGTATAAGACAAAATTACGCATCCTAAGGGTCTGCTGCTGTCACTCCTATTCCTTATAACCCTTGGTTGGCACTGAGATAGCCTTGGTCTAGCAGTACCTACAGCCACCCAGAGAGTTACCAATTTGTATTTTGAAGCATATGACACAAAAATATGAAAAAAAAAAAAAAAAAAAAAAAAAATTATGAGAAATGTCTAAAAATGACAGCATATTAGTATTATTATTATTAATATGTACATATTATAATTATTATTATTATTAATTTCAGGAACTGGAGCACAGATCCAATTCCCTAGATCAAGAGCCCATCACCATGTACATACTACTACTACTACTAAGTTATTATAACAATAATAATAATAATAACAACAGTAAGGATAAACTTCAAAAGGCTGCCAGTAGTTGGCACCACCATCAGCAAAACATTGGTAACCAATACTAACACACTTTTTGCCTGTCTGGACTTAGTAGTCTATAAGTATTAGGTTAAGTCTGCCCGAAATGCCTCGGCATGATAGTGGCCTTCTTTGCTCCAATTATGTTATGATATGTAAATACACACTGTAACCTTTGCAAATAAATAAATACCTTATTTATTTAAGGAACCTCCCTTGAGGGGAAGTTTGCATCCTGAAATTTCCTTTGTATCCAGAAGCAAAAAATTGACCGAACGACGGTTCGTATCTTGAAAAATTCACATGGTGGAGCATTCGTAAGCTGAGGTTCCACTGTATTTCTACAACAGTAGGGAAATTCTATATCTTATAGTTACCCACAAGACACTAATCTGGGAACCACAAAATTAAGGAGCTATAAAGTCAGAGAGAAGGGCAAGTATACGAGGAAGGTTATCTTCATGGAGAACAGTTACTAGCTAGCTGACCAGCCAGCTGGCTGCCACAACCATCACTATCAGATTCAGTTATGCATTGGAATTTAAAGAAGTGATTTACCTGAAGTACTGGTAAACTAACACATGAACATGTTTGCAGACCAAACCAAAATTTAAATAGAAAATCAAATTTGATGGGGAAACTTAAAAAAAAAAAAGTTAAATAAACCAAGCATACAGTGATATTATTATTATTATATTATTATTATTATGACAAACAGGAAGTATCACACCCAAGGGGGTCATACAACAAATTAAGCAATGGGAGGCAATCTGATTCAATCTGTGGACAAGGGAGGGTTGAGGCCCAATTCACTGGATCAAGAGCCTTTCACAAGCAACAAGGAACCTTCCTTGAGAAGCATGGAGTGATAAATGGATGATGGGGATCAATCGAGAAAAATGGCCACAACCCCTGAAATAAGTCAATTTAGAGTCATTAACCCTTTGAGGGTCAAGACCCCTGCTTACAAACTTGCCCATAGGGTTGAAGAAATTAAAAAAAAAAAAAAATCTTATGAAATGATAGAGAACCTTTATCTGGAGGTAATGAAACCAAAAGCACAAAATCTGATGGAAAACTTATGGAATTACGCTCTCACGAAGTTAGCAGTCTCAGCAATATTTACACATTGATGATTTTGCCCACTCTAAGCCATATTTTGGGCCAATTCCTTTGTTCCATTCTACCAAACTCATAGCTATTTTGCTAGATCTCCTTTTATTCTATTGAGTACAAGAAACTGTCCATTTACCTATTTCAACTACCCAAAAAAAGTGATGAGAAATTATTAATTTAGCCAATTTCACACAAAATTAAAGGCCAACTACCCAAAAAAGTGATAAAAAATTACTAATTTGGCCAATTTCACACAAAATTCAAGAAAGGCCAATTTCAAAATAGGGTCCAGAATAAATAATGCAGATATTCCTGGCACTAGAATAACATTTTCTCTGTTCATTAGTCACATCTCCAGGCTCCTCTTATATTACTCTTGCTTTCATTTTTAATTTTTATTCACACAAAAAATAGAAGATTTACTGTTATTCAGACTAATGCATAATGGTAATAATTGTATAAATAATGTCAGTGCATTCATGAATGCATAATAGACTGACAAGTTGATATGTATTGGACACATGATGTGATTTGTTTACTCTTGAACATTGGGAAAAATCGTACATTTCTGCTACTTTGAGCTCAATTTCAAGCTACTTTTAGTCTGTAAACCATTCAAAATCATCTCTATTTCTGTAGTATATCTTCCAATCTATCAGACGAAACCATGAAACCGAGAATACAACCATAAAAACCACATGAAAATACACCACAAAGTCGCTGTTTTACACCAAAAACAAGGTTGCAGTTTTTTCTCATTATGCACAGTGTGCTGCAGGATCATTTTTTACACTGCGCACACTGACTATGCAGACCCATTCTCTCATATGTAGGCCTACCAGCTTTCTCCCGCAAGACTGGAAGCCACTAAAATTTTGGCATACTATTACGGGACCAATACTGGCAGTATTATGGGACTGATACGGGACCGACCCTGAAAGGGTTAAAGTGCAGGCATTGGACCTCCCACCTCCAGGACTCAAGTCCAGCTAACTGGTTTCCTGGAATCCCTTCACAAAATATTACTCTGTGCACACTCAACAGCTCATCACGTCCCAAAGACTATTCATCTCCATTCACTCCTGTCTAACACTATCACACATGCTTGCTGCATGTCCAGGCCCCTAGAACACAAAACCTCCTTTACCCTCTCCCTCCATCCTTTTCTTATACGTA